AGGCTCGGTTAGGATATTTGGAAGAGATGTGGCCAAAGTCCTTACAACTGATGCGTAGCAGGTGAGAAGAAGTCCTTGGAGTTTAAAAAATTTTACACTTATTTTCCAAGATTTGAGGAACATTAGACGGGGAAGGTCGTAGAAGAGACTTAACAGGTGGAGGTGGAGCCAATGAGACGGAAGAATGGTTGTCAATACGCCTTCTATAAGGAGAAGGGGGCCTTAAACTATCATGACCTTTACACTTATTTTTCCAAATGGGAGGAACACTAGACTAGGGAGGTCCTAGAAGGGACTTAACAAGAGGAAGTGGAGCCAATGAAACCGAAGGATGATTGTTGTTACGCTTTCTACGTGAAGAAGATGACTTTGGGCTATCACGACCTTTACACTTGTTTTTCCAAAGGGAAGGAACATTAGATTGGGAAGGCTCTATGATAGACTTATGATGAGATGACGCTAATGAGATGGGTGAACGATGGTGATCACGCTTTTCATTTGCAGTACTAATAAGTAACTCGTAGTCTCGAGCTGAAGAGTAAGCTTGATCAAGAGTAGTGATGCCTCGAAAGAAAAGCTCGCGCCTAAGTTTATCTCGTAGACCTTGTATAAACCTACTTAAAGTCAGGGCCTCATCCTCAATGACATGACATTTCACTCGAAATTCCTCAACTCGAGCAATGTATTTAGTTACTAGCCGATTCTCTTGTGTAAGGGTGTTCCATTGGGTAAAAATTTCATGATCTAAGCAACCATCGAAAGTAGGAGTATCTAAGTCAATGTCTCTAAAGAAACACTCCTTACGACGAGGAAGAAAATGAGTGCCATGATGACTATGGCCTTGTTCTCGCTCACAAACCTGATCTCTATTCCTAAGATCGAGTTGAAAATATTTTTGATCCCTTTGTTCACGATAATATTGTCTATTATGAGATGCTTCAGAATTAGTGTCAGTCAAACGAGGGGTTCGCTTAAAATTGCTCAACTTAGCAGCTAGGTTCTTTCTCTCCTCACGAGTAGCAGTTATGTCCGATTGGACAGTCGATAGGCTAGTGGCAAATTGTGCTAATTGTCTAGTGAGTGCATCAAATTGGGATGGATCCATGGTCAATGTATTGGAAATAGAGACAACAAGACGACCACTACGCAACTACATGCAATGTAATACCAGCTAAATGACGTGCAATGATGAGATCAATGAACAATAAATGCAAGTAGTGAAAAATAATAAATTAAGCATTTTTTTTTCAGGGATAAGTAAATTCAAATATGGCAAGCTAATATTGCTGGTACATGTAAAATGGCAAAGCAAAGGTCAACACACTAGTCAAATTCTCCAATCAATTTAAGTGGGGAACAATGGAAGTCAATTCGTTTACTAGTGTCAATTTGATTAATGGTTTCAATCAAGTGGGGTTTAAGGCTAAAATTATCATGATAACAGCAGCACAAGATTTTAATTGATGCAATTTTAAAAATGAAGCAGTAGTATAAATCAATACTAAATAGAGATCAAGGACTTCTTATTGTTTAGTTTTGATTATTTGTATGCCGATTGATCTGAATTGCCGACTTATGAGCCCCAACTATGCTTCTATTCTTCCCTTTGTGTCCACTGGTTTTAACCCCTATTGACTATAACTTGTGCTGGTTCTAGTGTCGACGTAATACTGAGTGTGGTTACTGTGACTTTTAGATTGTTGAGATGGATGAGGAAATATATGAGTGTGGTAACTTTGGTGAAAGTGTATGATCTTGGGTTGGTGGTAGTGGCCTATGGCGATGAAGCGGTAGTGCTTTGGATGCCTGGGTAGATAATGGAGTGGTGGCGTTATGGTGATTAGAGGCGGCGGCGGCAAGAGAGTGGTTGTGAGAGAGGAATCGAGTGAAACTGTGGGGTATTTGATGTTAATGAATTGGTTATAATCGGGCTTGGTTGGATATTTGAGACTAGGCCTGATGGGAAGGGGTTTAGATCCTGTTATAGAGATGGGCCAGCTGGGATTAGTGTTTGGGGAGTGGGCCTGGATCGTAGAGAGTAGTCTAGGTTAGTTGGGCTAAATATGTAATAAATGGGCTGGGGATTGGGTTATTGGCCGGGTTGGATAATTGGGTTGATGTAATGGCCTTATTGGGCTGAATATGAGATGTGGAAAATGGCCTCTTGGACTTGGGCTACTTATGATTATGTGGATGTTGATTGAGCTTGAGTAACGGGTTAAATGATTTGGAGACTAGAATATTTGACTGGGTGTTATAATGGGCAGTTTGGATTAATAATTGATTGTGTGTATGGATTAGGGTTTGCAGGAAGCAGTAACAGTAACATAACAACTCGGTTTTTTTTTTTTAATTTTTTTTTCCGCAGGTGAACACTGGAGCAGTACTCCTTTTTTTTTTTTTAATGAAGAACAAATAACGACAAAATGGGAAATACTAAAAAAAAACTGCTGCCGCCATTATTTTTGTGTTGTTTTACAAGTTTTGGGATCTACAAATTTTTGGGAAGAGAGTGGGAAGAAATTTTGGAATTTAGAAGAGATTTTACCCAAGTTTCGGCTCTTATACCAAATTTGATGCAGCATCAATAGGATAATTAATAAAAACAGAAGAAATATTCAGAAAGAATGGGGAATTAAGGGAGGGGATAGAAGAAGAATTCAATAGAAGAAGGGGAAGGATGAGCCATAAGCCACCAAAATAATTATTCATTCATTATCAACTGAAAATTACAATGCAAAATAAGTTTAAATAGTAAAGCAACCCTAACGAACTTGGGCCCGAGCCCATACAAGTCCAAATTTAAATAATAGTCCAAGAAAATAAATAAAGCTTAAATAAAATAAGTAAACGTCGTCCGATGTCCTCATCACATTGTCTTGCTCGTTGTCAACTCCAGAATCAGTTTTACTGAAGAAAATAATGCTGGAAATGCAGCAACTGCCCTCATGGCTCGATTTGCTCCAAAAGCCTAGGTTTGCCCTTCTGAAATGGCTTCCAACTACTAAATAGAAGTGATTCAATCTGTTCCTAACACCAGGTTTTGAGAGTTGGAAAATGGAGTAGGGAAGAAGCCTCAATGTTGGTTCTTGGGAACATAATATCAAACTTGGAGATATTATTCCAATTGATGCACGGCTTGTAGAAAGCAGTCCTCTTAAGATTGATACATCCTTTAATAGTTATTATTAAAAACTGGGAACTTAAAACAAGGTTATTCATCTAGCTTCAAATAGGGTTTGCACTTGGCCTATTTTTTCTTTGACCAAAGTTGCTATGAATAAAATACTTCATTTGCTTTCCAAAAACTCATTTAACGCACATATCTCATCAATCATTAATATTCAATCCACTAACATTACCTTCAAATAAAGGCAATATGTGCATTGCAGGGGCACATCACTAGTATTTAGAAAAGTGTCTTTTATTGCTTTTTGCTCACCTCGTGAACTTGTTCAGTATTTAGCTATTTGAGTATTTCAGGAAAGTGGGGGCTGTACTGCCTGTGCTGTCATTTGCCCTGCGAGTGCATTCATGGTAAAAAAGAATGCCAAATGGGGGATGTGTTGCGGTCCTAGGAGGCAAACGAAGCTTGATAGAGGAATGCTATATGTAGTGGACTAAGTTATTTGTATACTATGGTTGACAGATTGATGACATGGAAGTGTTATAATTATTGTAAATTCGATAAGTCAGGGTGTAAATCAGGATGAAAATGTAGCAAGATTGATAAATGGGAACTCGATAATGACATCTCTAGCCATAATCCCAAGCTGCTACAGGCCTTCAAAGGCGATCAAAGGGCCAAAACTTCTTGATCAACTAATGGGCATCAAATAAGGGCTTATTAAAAAAACTGACAATTTTATTCAAACACTTAATTTTAAGTATTTAATTTGATAAAGAAATATTATATAGTCAAAATAAATATATGTTGATTTCGTTCATAGTAATATATAATATAAACTGACCAATTCAACTAGAAAATATAATATTATCTAATGCGATACGGTACAAACAATTCTAAGCGATTAAATACAAGACTTTTTAGTAACCTTAATTATAATAAAACTTGGATGCCACCTGACACAAGAAGTTCGCTCTCGTCAGTAACATTTAACTCATTTGTTTCATGTAAAACATCAAGTTGAATTGTAATGTTCTATAAGATCTCTTCTGCATTGTACCAAAATTTAATAAATAAATTTACTATGTATCTATTTGTTCAAGACTTTAGATGAGAAAATTTAACGATCAAATGTCAAGATATTTTTGCAGCTGTGGGCATTTTGAAAATTATTTTCACCTTTTAACAACTTGAGTTCTATGTGAGTATATCTTTACTAAGAAGTTGACTAAGATTTTTAACATTGCTCGCAGCAAATGGAGTTTTCATTAAAGTATTTAAAATTCCACCTCAAATTGGGTACTTCAAAATGTTGACAAAGAGAAGACTGCTATTTGATAAGGAAAATTGCACTTTAATGTTATTTAGTTGCTTAGGTGAAAATTACAAAAAGAAACAAACGAGAAAATTGTTTAGAAACACCACTAAAGGCATCAGTAAGTGTGAATCTTTAAGGGAGATGCACTTGATGAAGGAATGGTGTTGTCATCAGTACTTGTCCATGTGTAGTCATCGTCTGAAGTCATGATTGATTTTGACTTGTGCAAATATGTGCCTTGAGATGTGGTATCAGAAGCACTTGAAAGCATTTGGCACATTCTAATACTCTCCAACTCTATGGCTACTTCTTTCATCGTTGGTCTTTTTTTCCCATATCAAGTTTAAGCACCTTTGTGCTAGTTTGGCCACTGCATTAAGCTCTTCTATCTTATCTTGCTCTAAAACTTATATGTCAAGAATTGTTTCAGGCTGTTTTCTCTCCATGCACAACAAAAATTTTGCTGCCAAACTTCTCTCCTTTTCTGTTCTATCAAGAGATATTGGCCTTTGTCTAGTCAAGAGCTCCACAAGAACAACTCCAAAATTGTAAACATCACTTTTTTTCTATAAATTGCCTTGACCGGAAGTACTTTGGATCTAAGTATCCGAATGTTCCTTTTACTAGCGTAGTTAGATGAGTTTGATCCATTGCGATTGACCTTGAAATTTCAAAATCTGAGACTTTTGGTACATATTTTTCATTAAGAAGTATATTGGTCGACTTAATGTCTCTATGATAGATGGGAATAGATATTGCAGAATGAAGATAGGCCAATGCTTCTGCCACTTCTATAGCAAATTTCAAGCACATGTTCCATGAGAATGGAAACTCATGACTCTTATCATGGATAAGATCTAAAAGAGTTCCATTTGAAATGAATTCATAAACTAGCAAAGGAACTTCTGTTTCGAGGCAACATCCTAATAGTTTAACTACATTCCTATGAATGATTTGCGAGAGCATGACGACCTCGTTAGTGAATTGTTTTGCTTGATTTTCATCTACTTTCTTGGATTTCTTTACTGCTACAATTTTTCCATCAGATAACATACCTTTATAAACCGTCCCTTGATCTCCTCGACCAAGTATTCGACTTTCATTGAAGAGGTCAGTGGCTTTCTCTAGCTCTTTCATAGTGAAAAGTCGTGTTTTTTCAAGTATACATTCATCTGTTGATATTTGTTGTTGCAGCAAGAGACCACCATTCTGTTTGAAGAATTTTTCTTTGTGCCTTTTGATTTTTCTCTTCTTCAGAAACTTGTACAACCAAAAACTAGTTGATAATAGTAGTAATCCCATTCCAATGCCCAAGCATAATCCTGAAAGTGTAAACACATGCAACATAATTAAAGACAAGACGATCACACCGAATTTGGACTTCAATCATGTAGTTTTCCATGACTAGGATTTTTGATTTTTATTGTTTATTTACGAATTACTCCCTTTTTTCTTTTTTCTTTTTTCCCTTTAACTGCGTCAAACAAACTATAAATCAACCTAATCATTTTCGCAGAACCATATATTGGTCAATTTGAAAATCAAGATGTAAATAAAAAATATTCCCCAATTTGTTTGTCTTGCCAGTCAAATTCGGCGTTTGATTTCTCGAAAAAAATTAACATGCTATCTGGAAGAGGAAAAGTTAGAAAAATATATCAAGTTGCTTAATATGTGAAAGTTTAATTAAAAATTACCTATTGTTAGTTTCATATGGAATGGGACACCCACGGTACTAAAAAACAACAAGTACCATTTTTTCTACCATCAACATAATATCCATCGGGGCAGGAACAATAATAGGAACCCAGAGTATTGATGCAAATTTGACTTGAGATGCATGGATTATTGTCGCATTTATTTATATCTGTCATCAGATCCAGCATCACAAAGAAATAACTTTTAGATTTTTATATTATACTAAGCAATATAATTAATAAGATTTTAATTAAGTAGCTACGGATTTTAATTTTAAAACAAAACTAACCTTGGCATCCTAAATCGAGGTATGGATTGCCCTTGTATCCCTCTTTGCACTTCCAGCAAACTCCTCCAAAACTGTCATCCAAGACAATGCAAAGACTATTCTTTCGACATAAATGATCATAGCGACTGCAATTACTATCCTTTCGGCATAAATGATAATTATAATCAAGGTAGTTCATGAAGCAGTTAACTATTCTCCAATCTAACACTATTGGCTTATCCATGAACTCTTTACCGTTCTGGAATGTTTCTGGAGCATTGAGACTAGGTAAAGGGTAAGTGAAATCATGACCGTCCATCATTCCAACGAATGCTAGGCTGCACGGGTAAACTTTACTTTTCGACCAAATAATATGCGCGTCCATCAATCGAACTTTCAGATAATCGCCTTTGGATATGAAGGCCCAGAAATAGCCATAAGTGTTCGCACATGATCCGATACTACCATAATAGATTTTAGTGTTACTTGGGGTACAATATGAAACAGCAGCAACACTACTGTTGGCATTACTTTTATTTGATTCTACCAAAGCCAAGTCATCACAACCAACGACTGTGATCTGATTTGAGTCTGAAAAGGAGTAAGGAGACAGTGACAAATCTATATCTATATCGGTCTTGTTAGGATCTTGCTCTATGCCATAGCAGGCCATAGCCAGTTGTAGCGTCAAGTTCTTAACATAAATTTGGGTTTCTGAGATATTAATGACCACAAATTGATAAGTGATACGGATGGGCTCGACCTCATAAGTGCGAAACTCAATCTCAAGGTAAGGTTTTGGAGGGTTGGAAGAATTAAGGTAGATGATTTCAAAGTTCCAATCCATAGAACAATTTGGCCCGATGCCAAACCAGGATGAAGCTTGGGTGAAACTAAGTGGAGGTCCGAACCGACTGATGTTGAAGAATCAGCGGATGAGTTGTGGTTAGGGGTGAAATGCCATCTGCTTGGACAGTCAGCTGGTATATGGAAGGGGGCAGCAGTGGCATTTAATAGCAGTGAAACCAAGAAGAATATATGGAACAAAAGAGAGTGCATATTAATCATGTTTTGCTTTGTAATTTGGACGTTCAAATAGATTAGGCAAGGCTAATCTATATATAGACAAAACCTATATTAATATTGTTACGTGTTAACATACTTGGCCGACCCACTGCGCCCATGACCCACTTCTGCCAAACGATGTGGCATCTTATCTGAGAAGTGAATATGCCGACGTGGTCTCCAGTCGAGGCCCTTCACTCTAAGGCCCTAAGGCTCTAAATAGCGCTCCTTCCCAACGATCCGATCTTACACAATGATCCTTCCTGATCGATTGATGGGACACCCATCATAGAATAAAAGTGTCTTATCTTGTCAATGTAGTGGTGGAGCCGTCGATTAATAAATGTTTAGCAGGCTAGAAAGTCAAATGTGATACCTATAATTTGACATATAAACTTACGAGATGAGGCCACGGGTACTCCCAACCAAGGGCCACAATCTAAGTTGTAATTCTATAAATATTTCCCTTATGTAACATTAAAGGGCGAATGCAAGATTGAACACAAGAACAAATACAACATTCTTTACATTTTACTTTCTTGCAACATATATGAATTCATATACGCATTCTACAAACATCGATTGGTAATTGTTGTACAATCGTTATGACATCTCGTCGAATTTCGAACGTTCTCGACCTGCGCCTTTGAGTCACTCCCATGCCTCCTTTTACTATTGATTCTAGATCGTCCATGTGTCTTAGCGTGTTGGACCAGGCTTACGTGTGTGCGGGTGGGTCTAGTATCTGTTGGCAACATATTCTGGGGTCAACAGATTGGCGCCGTCTGTGGGAAATCACACCATAACCAAGAGTAACTGTGTGGAAAAGCTGACTAAAGAAAAATATTTGGGCATCCCCCTTGAAAAAGGATTTGTTCTTGGAAAAGAATAAATGGAAGCCCCATAATTTGGAACAATTTGAAGTTGGAACAGAAAAGAATGAGTTCAGACGAGGATGTGCCCCCAGGAGAGTAAGGGAAAATGTGGGAATGCCTCCACTAGTAGCAGCCCTTGCAGCTCGGCATCGACCTCACCACCATAACAGAAGAGGTGGCATGCGGATGGCTGCTCAGTTGTCGAGAGAGATGGCCACCATGGCCGCAAATGTTAGGGACATTGCTAGCCAAAACATGGCCATGAGAGAACTCATGGCCCAAATGCAAAGCCAAGGAGGATTCCCTATTCCTCCCTATGCACCCCAAGGACATTACGACCAAGATGAAGAAATCCAAAGCCAAAGTGCTGTATCGCCAGAATACAGCTGAGGCAGAAGCTCCAACAAGAGGGAAGTATAAGTTGATGTTTCCTCCAATTATGCTGCAGGTCGACCCACCGAGGCCCGTTATAACCAGGACAACTTTCCACTAGCATATGAGCCAGAACAAAGACCTAGGAGATCTAACAGCGTCTTTGACAGAATAAGCCCCGCGGAATCGAGGCACAAGCAACAGCAACAACATCAATGCGAGCCTCAGGTTAGACCACAGCCCCCACTTTCAATGACTCATCAGCCGGAAGAAAGGCATGAAAATGCCCCTGATGCTGCTCCACCTAGAAATAGGCGTTAAAGGAGGGAAGAGGAGGCTGGACCCAAGTTGGACCCTCTCATCAACCACCCAGGTATGAAGCCGAAGAGAACAATGACTCGGATGAGTAGCAGAGGTCCTGTGACTTGGATGATGATGATGAAAATCTCCTATTTTCAAGGGAACTAAGGAATGCCCAGGTCCTGAGCTATTATGTGATGCCCAAAATACCAAAGTATAACGGGAGAGGCAACCCGGAGAAACATCTAAGCGCTTATAAAACCTATATGAGCCTTAGAGGCGCTACCCCAGCTGTGAAGTGTAGAGCTTTTCATTTGACACTTAGTGGAGCAGCTGAAATCTGGAATAGCCGACTGCCACCTGGGAGCATAAGGAGTTGGCCAAAATTCAAGAACACTTTCCTAAAAAGGTTTGTAGTGAGCAAAGAGGGAGAAGCCCCTATCCAGCGCCTTCAAGACATGAGGTAGGCGCATGGAGAATCCCTAAAAAGCTTTTTATCACGCTATGCTGATGAAATGACGTACTGTGTGCAAGTCATCGATCGTGAGGCTTTATCAGCAAAACTAAGATCCCACTACCTATGACGCCCTGTTGGAAATGATGAGGTGGGAGATTATCAATGAGGAGCTAATTAAACATAGGAATTGGGCCAGTAGAGGCCTCCCACCTCAACAGAGACAGCACGTCAGGGGACCGACCTCCACTTGATGGATTGTCAAATGAACCCGTCTGGTAATGGAAATGCAGGGCAAGAACTTGCCACAACCACTTTGAACGCAGTCCCAACTTTGGCATATGAAGATGTTGACCCAACTACCACCGCTCCGCAAGTAGGAACTTCGCAACAGGCCCCCCGTAGAGTAAGAGGTCGGGGGCACAGTTTAGGGCCTAGGAATAGGCCTAAGTAGAATCCCCTAGATTATTGTACGTACCACCGCTCCTAAGGTCATAACACGTCCGAGTGTTGGGAGTATGCATACTACAATTGATGGGAACACCCTCAAGACTGGAGGAATGAGTCACCACAGGCGATCAGGTCCCCGCCTACGAACGACTAGCGATAGAGGCGTGAGGAGGCCGCTCCCCTCCAGCGAGATATATCCCCCCACCGAAGGAAACATGACGTGGAGAGATCCAGGGAAGGATACATGCATCATAGAAATCGCCACGCATAAGAAGAGGCCCCTATTCAACGAGGTGGATACCATATTTGGAGGCCTCTACGTGAGAGGTGAGACCTGGAACGCAAAACTAAACTATGCTCGAGAGGCTAAACGCCTCCTACTAACCAGTTGTATTGTGGACAACAGCTCCCGAAGAAATCAAGTGCGGCCCCTCGTCTTCACCTAGGAGGACTTTGAAGGGGTTCAGTACCCCCATTGTGATGCACTTGTGGTCAGGGCGGTTGTGGCCCACAATGGGCTCAAGCGAATGCTAGTAGACAATAGCAGCTTCGTCAACATCTTGTTTGGGTCCACCATTGATAAGATGATCCTGGACCACAAGCTGACACCCACCACCACTCCTCTATACGGATTTACCGGAGATAGTATCACTCTGAGAGGAAAAATAACATTGGCGGTAGAGATGGGAGAGTCCCCCTAAACCACCATGAACTTTATGAAATTCCTCATTGTTAACAGTTGGTCAGCTTACGATGGAGTCTTGGGTAGACCAGCCCTGAAGGAGTTAGGAACCGTCACCTTCATCCACCACCTTTGCATGAATCTCCCAACTGAGAATGGGGTGATAATAGTGAGAGGTGACCAAAGAGGATCCAAAGAATGCTACCTGAGTTCCATTAGAAATTTTGAGCCCCGAGATGTACATACCATCCTGATTGATGTGGATATAGCAGATGTCCCAAGCAAGGCCCCTCCCGAACGAGAGGATGTTGACATGGTCAATGCACCTCCCGAGCAGGAAGAACTCTCCATGATCGATGAGATCGATCCTCGTGTGATTGAACACGAACCCCAAAAAACTCTGGTTGAGGAACTAGAAAGCTTCTCGATCAACCCCCGCAACCCCACGAAGGTGTTGAAAGTAGGCAAAGGCCTGTGTAACGACATGAAAGAAAAATTGAAAGACTATCTCTGTAAGAACCTTGACATCTTTGCTTGGAGGCATGAGGACATGGTGGGCATAGACCCCAAGGTTAGCTATCACCACCTAAAAATAGATCCTAAGGTTGTCTCGCACCGATAGAAGAGACGAGCCCTTAACCCAGAAATGTATGAGGCTCTGAAGGAAGAAGTACCGAAGCTAATCAAGAATGGCTTCATCAAAGAGGCCATCTACCTGAAGTGGGTCTCCAACCCGGTGCTAGTCAAGAAACACAATGGTAAGTGGATGGTATGTATTGACTTTACAAATCTCAATAAGGCATGCCCCAAAGACAGCTTCCCACTTCCGAGAATTGATCAATTAGTAGACTTTACCATCTGGCATGAGCTCCTGAGTTTCATGGACACCTGCTCTGGCTATAACCAAATACCCATATACCCGACCGATGAGGAGAACACCTCCTTTATCACTAACAGAGGCCTTTACTACTACAAGATGATGCCCTTTAGGTTGAAAAACACCGGTGCCACCTATCAAAGGCTTGTCAACAAAATGTTTGTGGACCTCATCGGCAAAGCAATGGAAGTCTATGTAGATGATATGCTTGTGAAAAATCTGAAGGCGGACGACCATGTGACGTACTTGGATGACACTTTTCAAACCTCTGAAAGTACAGGATGAAGCTCAACCCCCTCAAGTGCGCTTTTGGCGTTGCCTCCGGCAAATTCGTGGAGAACATGGTCAATTAAAAAGGGATCGAAGCCAATCCTGAAAAGATCAATGCCTTGCTCGAGATGAGATCACCCCAGAAACCCAAAGAAGTCCAAAGCCTAATGGGACAAGTGGAAGCCGCAACCACTTTGTCTTCAAGGCCACCAATAAATGCCTCCCGTTCTTCAAAATGTTGAAAGCTGGGAAGAAATTCAAATGGAATGAGGAGTGTGAAGAGGCCTTCCAGGGCCTAAAATGGCATCTAGGGCAGGCCCTCTCCTCTCCAAGCTAAAGCCCGACGATATCCTTCAACTATACCTGGTTGTCTCCAATGAGGCCATCACCGCGGTCTTAACCCGAGAGGAAGAAACCACCCAACTCCCCGTGTATTACACCAGCAAGGTACTCCTGTCTCCGAAAACTCGCTATCCCTATATGGAGAAGCTACCTTTAGCCTTGATCACAGCTTCTAGGAAGTCGAGGCCCAACTTCTAGGCATACACCATTCACGTGCTAACCAACTTCCCCTTGAGGCAAGTACTACAGAAGCCAGATGCCTTAGGTAGACTACTGAAATGGGTAGTGAAATTAAGTGATTTCAACATTGTCTTTAAGATAAGGGTAGCCATCGAGGGCCAAGATTTAGCTGATTTTGTGGAAAAGTTCACCAATGTACCT